GAGTCCAGGTGACAAATAAACAACACAGGATTAGCCTTTGGGGAGTTAGACCTCTGTGCCAAGAAGTATTGAGGGTAGTTCAGTAAGGTAATGAACAAGAGATTCAAAAATCTGAGTTGATTTTTGGTTAACTTATTTGAAAATGACAGAGACAGAGAGAGATAGAGGTCGTTCATCTGCTGGTTCACTCTCCAAATGCCCTCAACAGCAGGGACTGGGCCAGACTAAAGCAGGAAGCCAGGAATTCCTTCTGGATCTCTTAGAGGAAGACCAGGACCCAAGCACTCAGGTCTTCCTCCATGGCGTTCCTAAGTACATTAGCAGGAAATCGGATTACAAGTAGAGGAACAGGGACAACAACCAGCTCTCAGATATAGGATGTAGATGCCTTAAGTGAAAGCCATAGCCCACTGCACCACATTGTCCACACTGTGAATTTATACTGATGTAAAAAAACAAAAAGTTGGAATCCATTTATGCTTTTTGTATGATACCCACTTTCCATATATGATGAAAAATGTATCAAAATAAGCTCATACTTTTAAGTTAATTTCTATAAACTTGTTGAATTTTAAAGTTTCTTAAACTTTTCATTTATTTTTCCATTATTGGAAAAGCAAGGAGACAGAGATCTCCCACCTGCTGGTTCGCTTCTCAGATGCCCACACTGCCAAAGCTAAGGGAGGTGGAAACCTGGAATTCAATCTGGTCCTTACATGTAGGTGGCAGGGATCTGAGTACTTGAGCTACCACTAGCTGCTTCCCACAGATACGCATTAGCAGGAAGGTGGAAACAGAAGCAGTGCTGGGACTTGAATTAGGCACTCTAATAGGAGAGTCTTAAGACTCCCAAGCAGAGTCTTCACCACTATGCCAGATATTCACCCCTCCATAAACTTTCTGAACTTCTCTCACAAGCTAAGGGAGGCAGATATGAAATGAGAAAGAAGAAACAGGGAAAATAGGCAAAGAGGAGGGGAAGAAAAAGGAATGAACTGGTGGGGAGGATTAGGTCCCTCAGATAAGGAGTTGAGGTACCCTAATCGCCACACCCAAGAGTACAAGCAGCTATCTGCACTCCACATTTCAGCCTGAGCATTAGAACATTCCATGTGACTGGGTGAGCTGATAACATGCAAAGCAGACTAAGGCCCATGATGACTATGGGTTATGAGCACACAAAGGAAACCATCAACTCTCTTGGAGATCTGGTGCGTTCACAAAGTCTTGGTCTTATCACAGGGCACTAGTATTGTGTGCAGCACAAGTGACACACACATGGGTTCAGAGAGGCACTGACCAGGGCTGGTGCAGGAGAGTGGTTGTGGCCATTCATTTTATGGCTTACCCATTCCATGTGGCCTAGATAAGCCTTCTGGAAATGCTATTAGTAACTGCGCCATGGGAAATCTGGTCATGGGCCAGAAGCATACAGTATCAGTCATTTAAGGAATTGGGGCCTATCACTGCTCACCTGAAGGTTTCCCTCAACAGCCTGCTCATGCTGCCTGCATTTTCCCACTCACCTCAGGGTATTGGGGTGATTCATCTGTCTCTCCACGTGGCCAGAGACCAGTATGGGCTTCTCATGGCTACTTGTCTCCCCAGCACCTGACCTGCCACTGAGACTTAAGAAGGATTGACGGGTGATAGCCCACAATGCTTCATGAAATGCCAGGCCCAGGGGGGATTTTCTGAAAGGGGCATCACTCACCTGACTGAATGGCTGTGGCTCCCTTCTCTCGCTTATCTCGAATACGTTTGTATCTCCTGGCTGCGAGCCAGCCCTTGGTGTAAGCCTGCAGCATGACCACTCTGCCAAGGACTTCTTGCAGTAGCAAATTTAATTGCTCAATGTGGTAATATTTGAGAAAAACCTGAAAGAAGACATTGGTTTGAGCATTACAAACAGAGTAGATGTTCAATCAACTCCAGTATTTTCTTATTATAAACATCAAGTCCATTATCTACTCAAAGTTGGTTTTTTTTTTTTTTTTTATTGGAAAGGCAGATATACAGAGAGGAGAGACAGAGAGGAAGATCTTCCGTCCGATGATTCACTCCCCAAGTGAGCGCAACGGGCCGATGCTATGCCAGTCCGAAGCCAGGAGCCCCTTCCGGGTCTCCCACATGGGTGCAGGGTCCCAAACTACGGGCTGTCCTCGACTGTTCTCCCAGGCCACAGGCAGGGAGCTGGAAGGGAAGCGGGGCTGCCAGGATAGAACTGGCGCCCATATGAGATCCCGGGCGTGCAAGGCGAGAACCTTAACCACTGTGCCACAGCGCCGGGCCCTTTACTCAAAGTTTATAGTGATTTGTCACATGCGTATATTACTGACTTCTTGGGAGCAAATGTGATTTCTCAAATTGAGCTGTTCCTTGGTTACTGACTGTAGAGACAGCTAGGTCAGTAGATGTTCTCCAGGCCTGCCGCCTACTAGCTGGGAGCTCTGTTTGCACATCTTGAGCTCTACTTTTTTCCTCCACAGCTTCTGATGGGTGTGCCAAGCAACAGGAATGACCCACACCAACAGAGGCAGTATGGAGGGAGAGGGACTCCAATGACCCACAACAATCTAACATCTGTGGGGAAGCAGAGGAGTTTCCTTCTATACCTCAGCAAGGCTGGCTTTATTGTACCATCAGGATGGGCCATTCAAAGCTGGGACCCTGCAGGGGTGTGCTATTCTCTCATATGAAGAGATGATGAAACTAATAACCATGACATACAATAAATAACGCAAGGCATGTTTAATGAAAACACAGACAAAACTCCATAAAATTACATTGCTGCCATAGAACGTGTATATTTATATGTGATCCTAGAATGAACAGTGCTGACAAAGCAATGTATTAAAATCAGCTGTTATGATCTAATTCTAGAAATGTTAAATGGCCCTCAACAAATAGAACAGGGAACAAACCCTCCTCTTCTGGTCCCAAATGTCCTTGGCCTCGATTCAAGACCAGTAAAGTCACTGTTAGGTGGTATCTTCCCCGCTAAGCTACACAATTTACAGAGCCATTCTTATCAATGACATCACCAGCAAGGGTCAAAAGCACAAAGCAGAGCATCACAAGTGCAATCTGAACATAAAGAAAATGGTACCTTTGTTTTTCCTAGAACCCAGTGTTCTAATCTAGACTTTTCCAAGATGGCAATGCAGCTCTCCTTGCTTGCAGGAGGTGTCTGGTGTGCTCGGAATGCCAAGTAATAATATCTACAAAATAAAAGAATCAAATGAGGCATGCTTAGTTACCATTTGATTTCATGTGGCAAAATTGCTGCAGGCCCACTGACAAGCCTTATTTTTAAATAATTAATATTCCTCTTTTGCTTTCTTTCATTTTTGTTAAAAAGGCAGAGACAGAGGGAGGTAGACAAAGAGAGCAATCTCCTATCTGCTGGTTCACTCCCTAAAAGTCTCCAATACCCAGCCTGGGTAAGGTTGAAGCCAGAAATCCATTGGGATGTGATGGACCCAATTACTTTAGCCATCACCTGCTGCCTTCCAGGATGTGAATCAGGAAGCTGGAATAAGAAGCACAGGCAGGGGCCCGGTGCGGTGGCGCGGTGACGCAGTGGTTAAGGTCCTCGCCTTGCACGCCCGGGATCCCATATGGGCACCGATTCTGATCCTGGCAGCCCCACTTCCCTTCCAGCTCCCTGCCTGTGGCCTGGGAGAGCAGTCAAGGACGGCCCAAAGCTTTGGGACCCTGCACCCGCGTGGGAGACCCAGAAGAGGCTCCTGGCTTCGGACTGGCATAGCATCGGCCGTTGTGCTCACTTGGGGAGTGGATCATGGGATGGAGGGTCTTCCTCTCTGTGTATCCGCCTTTCCAATAAAAAAATAATAAAAATAAATCTTAAAAAAAAAAATTTGTTGTCTTAGTTTAAAAAAAAAAAAAAAGAAGCACAGGCAGGACTCAAACACAAGCACTCTGATATGGAATACGGGCTTCCTAACTGCTTCTTACATGCTTCATCTAATGAAGTCATTACTATTTAAACATCAATTCAAATACGTTAGCTAATGAAAGACACATAATTTATGCTTGCTAACTTCACTCTTACACACTTCCATGTTTTCTGCAGATACCTTTTCCTTTTAATAATGCTTTGTTAATTCATAACCAATGAATGCTTGATACTTTTCACATGCAAAAAAAAAATCTAATCCTTTCAGGAAGCTGAGATTCAGATGGCTCTTCCAGTGAAAGTCACAACTTTAAATATTAGTATAACTATTATAAAAGTCATTTAAGTTCCATTGCACATATTTTCATTCTATTTTTTAAAATTTCTTCCAAAGCTATTTGTAGACAGCCAAACTGATCATAGCCCAATGATCCTCCCTATGAGTCTCACATCTTCCTTATAGTATTGATATGGCTCCTCAATGTAATCACTACAACTACATCGGTTTTCTTAAATTACTTCATTTTAGTAAACTTTCTAACTTTCTGATCAAAGAGTTTCTGGGTATATTCAAAGTCTACACTGTAGGAGAGGAAAAATATCTTTCTGTCATCTCTTACATGGCTGAGGTCCCTATAAAAAAGGACAGCCTAACAAGAGAAGCACGCAGCTTTTACCAAAGTTTCACATGAAGAGGAGCCTTCATAAATAAAGCAAGGCCCAAAGACACAATCTACCTATGCATTTTTATGCCAGATTTGTTGAAGATGTAGATAGATCTGGAAACAGAGTATGATAAAATGGTGATAAACTAGGCTTTGTGTGTGTGTGTGTTGTAGACTTAGCAAGATCTCTATTCAAGCATTTATATGTATTTTTCAGGCACTTGTGGGTATCTTTTTAATAACTACTAACTTCTACGTAGGCAGAATACATCTTGAACTAACACAAATATTAGAACTTTTATTTTTAGTCCCTCCACCCAAATCTCTTCATTTATTAACAATATTTTCCTGTATGTCTTCATCCCAGAAAGGATAGATAACAGAACTGTGGGCAGTTACATTTAAAAAAATATTGAGTGCTCGCTTTGGCAGCACATATACTAAAATTGGAACAACACAGAGAAGATTAGCAGGGCCCTGCGCAAGGATAAAAAAATATTGAAGAAATATACAAATAATATCAATTTCCTCATATTAGATACTAGATATTTTTGTACCCCCATAAATACCTTTGTATTTTGTTCTGGAATGCAATTAACTACTTGGAAATGATTGTAGCCTTCTGGGAAAAGTAAGACCCATAAGGTTACAATCATTTCCAAGCATCTAACATAATGAGGTTGATATTATTTGGTATCTCCCACCCACATGAGAGACCCAGAAGCAGCTCCTGGATCCTGGCTTTGGATAGGCTCAGCTCTGGCCACTGCAGCCATTTGGGGGAATGAACCAGTGGGTAAAAGATTCTCTCTCTATATATATATCTTTTCAATAAAGTGAAATAAATTTTCTAAAATATTCACAATTACAACCAGAGATTTTAATGTACCTTTACAATAATTGATAGAACAAGTAGGCTAAAAAATCATCAAGGATACAGAAAGTCTGAACAATCAATTTGACATAATGACCATTTATAGTACATCTGCCAATAACAGAATGTATAGCCTTTTAATTGCACATGAAACATTTACTAGGATTGACCATATTCTGGATTTTAAAACATAATAAACTTGAAAAGTATTCCAATCACACAAGTTCATCTCTTAGCAGAGTGGAATTAAATTAGAAATCAACAAAATAAATCTGTAAAATTTTAAATATCTATGAACAGACTTCTAAATAACATACAGGTCAAATAGGAAATCAAAGAAGTATTAGCACTTTCAGTTGAATGAAAATGAAGCACAAGCTTTAGGAATTTCTGAGATACTACTGGAACACTGTTAGAAATTTATAGCATTAAACACCTATCATATAACCTCAATCTCCATCATAAGAAATCAGAAAAAGAACAGCAAATTAAACCCAATGAAATAATAAAGATCAAAGCAGAAATCAGTGAAGTGGAAAATGACTAAAACAAATGTTTCATTAACAGAATTAAAATTTTTTAAAGGGATAAGTGCTTAAGTGCTTTGTCTTACACTTCTGCATAAAAGCAAAATACATTACTATGTTTGCTTTTAACTCCAATGACATTTGGAAGCTCCACTTCGTAAGCTTATTGCTAACTGTCATAAATTACAAAAATGTTACTCAATATATAACTAAATAATATCACTGAACTTGAATTATAAAATAAAGAGGATCCATGTTTTAAACAAATAAGCAAAAAAAAAAAACTGTTTTTTAAACAGCTAATAAAATTGGTAAGCCTCTAGCCATAGAAGTCAAGAGAAAAAGACACAAATTACCAATACCTATGGATCCTACAGATACTAAAAGCATAAAGGAAAATTATGAATTCATTTATTCGATAAAATTTTAAGCCAAAAACAAAAAACTAACATGGCCTCAATAAATGAGGAAAATGCATTTGCCAAAATCTAACACTCTTATATTCTAAAAATTGTATGATTATATCATTTAAGATTTACTTATTTAATTGGGAGTCAGAGTTACAAAGAGAGAGTGACAGACAGAGAGAGAGGAATCTTCCACCCATTGGCCCACTCCCTAAATGGCTACAGTGTCCAGTGTTGGGCTAGGCCAGAGGCAGGAGTTAGGAGTTTCTTCCACGTTTTCCACATGGTTAGAAGGGCTAAACACTTGAGTCTTTTTCCACTGCTTTTCTCAGATTATTAGCAAAGAGCTAGTTGGGAAATAGAGCAGCTAGGACTTGAACTGGCACTCATAACATAAGTGACACCTTTACTTGTCATGCCACAACACAGGTCCCCTAATATAATTTTTTAAAAGATTTATCTATTTTTATTGAAAAGTCAGATATACAGAGAGGAGATATGGAGAGGAAGATCTTCTGTTCGATGATTCCCAAGTGATCACAACAGCTGGAACTGCACCAAACCAAAGCCAGGAGTTTGGAGCTTCTTCTGGGTCTACCATGTGGGTGCAGGATCCCAAGGTTTTGAGCTGTCCTTGACTTCTTTTCCAGGCCACAAGCAGGGAGCTGGATGGGAAATGGGGCTGCTGGTATTAGAACTGGAGCCCACATGCAATTCCGGTATGTTCAAGGTAAGGACTTTAGCCATTAGGCCACCATGCCAGGTCCCCCTAATTTAATTTTTTTAGGAATTTACTAATACATGAGATTGTCAGGGTCACAGCAAGTATTTGATAATTTCTACACCACAATTCTTAAGATTCAATACTTAATAGTAATTTGGAAAAAAAAAAAAAACCTCAAAACCTCTCTACAAACTCAAACTAACTTGAAAAAAGGAGTCTATGAAAAAAATTGCAGCTGTTATATTCAATAAGAATAATGCTGAATGATATCCATCTAAGATGAGCATCAAATTAAGGATGTCCTTTCATCAATATTCTATTTACATTGTCCCAGAGGTTCTAGTCAGCAAAGAAAAAGAAACAAAAGTGTCCATTTACAAAGAACAATAAATTCAATTACCTTAATTTGAGGGTGACATAATTGTCTACCTAAAAATCCAATGTAACAAGCCTGGCACAATGGGCTCAGTGGCTAAATCTCCTGCTTGTATGCACCAAGATCCCATATAGGCACTAGAGACAACCCTGTATCCAAATCGGAGATCAGAAGAGGCTCCTGGCTCCTGGTTTCAGATAGGCTCAGCTCCAGCTATTGTAGCCACTTTAGTCACAGTGACCCAGCAAATGGGAGATCCTTCTGTCTGTCTTTCTCTTTGTAAATCTTTCCAATAAAAATAAACAAATCATTAAAAGAAATACTTGAGTTATCCTGGGCCAATAATTTTTTCTTTTAGAATCTGGAATATGTCACTCCATTCTCTTCTGGCCTGTAGAGTTTCCTGTGAGAGGTTTCCTGTGAGTTTAATTGGCATTCCTTTATATGTCAGTTGATTTTTTTTTTTTTCACATTCACATTTAAGGATCTTTTCCTTATGTTCAATTGAACAAAGCTGGATGATCATGTGTTGTGGTGAAGATCGTTTTGATAAACCTGTTGGGAGTTCTGTGTCCCTCCTGGTTGTTTACCAGAACGTTCTCTAGATTAGGGAAATTTTCCCTTATTATTTCATTAACTATATCTGTAAAACCAGCTTCTCTTTCTGTACCTTCTGGGACTCCCATAACTCTTATATTTGGCCTCTTAATATTGTCTTTTGGCCTGATCCAGCTCTGCTTCCAGCTTTTTGTTTGCTTCCCCCTGATGACAGGAAATATCTTCCAATCCTGGAATTTTTTCTTCTGCTTGCTTCATTCTATTATGGAGACTCTCCACTGTACTTTTAATTTGCTCAACTGTGTTCTTAATTTCTGATATATCAGCCTTGATTTGCTTTACTGCTGCTATTTCTTGTGTAACATATTCCTTAAATTCTTTGAACTCTTGTATGTGCTTCTTGATCAGAAGCTTTATAATGAGTTTTCTGAATTCTGTGTCCCCTATTTTCTCAATGTCTTCCTCAGTGAACTCTGAGGTTGGCATAGGGTTTTGCTCCTTTGCAGGAGGGAGTCTTTGGTAATATTCATTTTGCCTGTGTGTCATCTTTTGTTTTTTTGTTCTTCATTGTACTTGTGGTTATCAGATTCTTCTTCTTGGTGCAGGTTTCTAAGCTGTGTCAGCCACAGATCTACAGTTCAATTTTACTTATTGCAGTTGATACCCAGCTCTTTGTTTATAGCCAATTGTGCCACTCCCTCCAGCAAGTTCCAGGTCTGGGTTCTTTTTTTATTATTATTATTGATTACATTGCATTATGTGACACAGTTTTAAAGGCACTGGGATTCCCCCACCCCTCCCCAACCCCCCCCCATGGTGGATTTCTCCACCTTGTTGCATTACCACAGTTCAAATTCAGTTGAGATTCTTTCATTACAAGCATCTACCAAGTATAAAGTCCAGCATCTTATTGTCCAGATAAGTTCATCGGTTTCTTGGGGAGACTATCTCTCTACTCTGCCAGCTCTACCTTCAGACCAGAGAAGGTCTGGGTTCTTATGTTAGATTTCTACTGTGTTCTCCGTAGCCCCAGCTCCTGGCTCACCACTCCCCACCTCCTGTGATATTATGCTGAGGTTGCACTACTGTCTCTGCAACCTTTCTCCCACTTACAGTTGGAGCAGGTCCCAAGATTAGGGAGATACCAGGTGTCCTATATAGCTGGGTTGTTGGTGGTGCTGATCTTGCAGGAACCTGTCGAACGTTGGGTCTGGTGCCACATGGACCTATTTTGACCAGTATAATGCCACAGTCAGTATTATTTTCCTGTGGGACCAGTGCAATCCACTGAACTCAGTGAGTTCTCATGAGCTCAGCACATGTGCAGTTCACTGTTGTCCCCTGTAGTCCTAAACGTTTGCCACACTGTACAAAATGCTGCCTGATGTACCACTACTATAGTTCTTGATCTGCTGGCCATCAGGTCTGATGGCTACCCAGACCTATCTTGGGTGGAACCTGTAGAATGCCATGTTGCTGCAGTTCACTCAGTCAAAAATTAGTTCACTCCCAGTTCAGTTTAGTGTATGCTCAGTCCTTTCCTTTGCCTCCTTAGGCAAAATGGTGCCCAATTCAGCTCTAGAGGGCTGACTGTGCTGTGAAATCCACCCTGTTCTCGTACTACCCATCTGGGACCTGCTGCTCTGTCTCTGCTCCCGGTCAAATCAAACAGACCAGCAGGACGGATAGTTCTTTGTCTGGGTTTACCTCAAAAGCTCCCAGTGAAAGAAAAAAATTGTCGGCCTAGGATAACCAGGAAGCTTTCTTTTGTCTTTGAAAATGAAATAAAATTCTTCCACAGTAAAGTTTAAAGAATATGCCTCTACCAAACACACCCTACAAATGATGCTTCAAGATGTTCTCTTGGGGCCCAGCGCGGTGGCGCAGTGGTTGGGGTCCTCGCCTTGCACGCCCGGGATCCCATATGGGCGCCGGTTCTATCCCAGAAGCCCCGCTTCCCTTCCAGCTCCCTGCCTGTGGCCCGGGAAAGCAGTCGAGGATGGCCCAAGGCTTTGGGACCCTGCACCCGTGTGGGAGACCCGGAAGAGGCTCCTG